GTGGGGGTGGGGGTTAAGGGGCAAAAGCCTGAGATGAAATTCACCCTGAATGGTGGTGATTTTTAAGGGTGAAATGACAGAGTTCCAAGCCACCTTAGAAAAAGTGAATAAGTGGACCACCAAACTTGGGAGGTCCCATTATGAGTATTTCAAGCAGCAGGGGTGGCCAAGTGTGAATGACAATGTTTCCTGGTAGTATAAGCTGTCTCATACTTAGATAATTGATGCCTGCTGAGAAATTTTTAAACTAAATTTCAGGGATTTCAGTGGGAATCTTCTGCATACAAAATACTGTATATATTCTTTCACTGGACTGTAGACCTCCAAGACAACAAATGAGTTTGTATAAAGTAGATTTCTATCTGAAGGGCTGCCTAGGCAAGGCCCAGGCAAGGAATAGCAGTAGGAGCCTTTAAATTAGCACCTGGATAGCAGACTGAACAGTCATAAAAATCTCTACTGTATACTGTTGGTTGTATTTTAATTAAAATAAGTGTTTCCATGTGTGGGATTCAGAACAGGATTGGGCCCAAGGGTTAGATCCTTCCTTTGTGGGCCTGTGTTGGTAGGGCCAAATTCACCCTCCATCCACAATTACATGATCTAATATCAGGAGCTTTTTGAAGCTGCTGCTCTGAGCACTTGCAAGAGCTCTAGCCAATTTGCTTGCAAGTAAAACTTTGTCTGATCCTTCCCATGAAAGCTGTTTTCATGGGAAGACACAAGCACAAATTCTGTTTTGGCTGCTGTAAGTGTGGCTATACTTGATCTTGGAATGATGCAGGGAGAGAAACTTGAAGGAGAAGGTAGAGTTTTGAGGAGAGGCTGATGGGCTTCACCTGAGGTCTGTAGGATGGCCTGTGGTCAGAGGCTGCTATTTCTGAGATACATATGTAAATAAGCACATGCAAATGATATGCAAAACTCTTACATACCTTTTGGGAGGGTAGTACATAACTGGTCACCTATTTGAAACCTAACCCCAATACAACTTAAATATTCTTTTTAAAAGCTACAAATGATTCCCAATTCTGGGGGATTATCTGTAGGGGAGGGGTTGCAAGGAATATCCTGACCAAACTGCATATGCAATGACAGGAGCAAATCTATTGTTCTGCCTTTGTGAAAATTATGGGCATTGAAACTACCTGTCCTATAAAATCTGACAGGATGGCCATGCTCTGGGTCCTTTTTATAAAACAATGTCATATTAGGACCCAGGAGGCATGCCTTTTCTATTGTGATGTTGCCCTTTGGAACATCCCACCCAAGATTTGGAAAAGAGCTAGCTTTGCCTCTGGGCATTGAGCAAGGGTGGTGAAGCTGGTGAAGAAGCCCACTTGTAGTGGGTGATTGAGAGGATTTTAGGTTGGTGTAGAGGGTAAGGAAAATTACCTTGATGGAGATACCCAAGATCCATCTCCAGGTATCTGAGCCATTTCCAAATGTTATCTGAATGTTCTGGACTCAAAATACATTTTACCCTGGCAATGGAACTTGCATATCTCCATGAAGGACATCTTCCTTACTCTCTACAGCTGGCCTCCATTACATCATGCTGTTTTGGTACTTTTATTTTTGTTGGTACTTTGTGTTTGGCCATCTAGAGCCACAATTTGCAAGTTGGATAGCCATATAAATTGGTCTAATAAACAAATGCAAGCAGAAATACAACATTGTCAATATACCTGCACAAGAATTAGAAACAAGAAGATCACTCTTTAGAAACAAATGCTTTCCAAAAGTACAAAAAAGAAAGTTCATGACACCTTCAAAGACTGAGGCTGCAATCCTGTACCAGAGTATCTGGATATAAGCCCTATTAAAATCAGTGGCACTTCTTAGAGCTCTGAAACAACTGTAAAAGATGTGGTGTGGACCTTGAGTACCAGTGATAATGAAATAGCGTCTTTCAGTGAAATATATACAGAAAAAAATGAAATTGCAGTTGGCCAAGACATGATTAAGTTAAAAAGAATATATATATATATATATAAGACACATGTTACACCTAAGTCAGTTTAAGTTGGAAATAAGTTGTGTGCAAATTTTTTGGTGTTTTTTAAGCCTCCCTTCTGTGCAGTGTGTGCAACCTTAAGCCAGATATGTCTTGTTCTAATGAGAAAGTTGCCCAGTTATGAATCAGTGGTCAAAAGGTCAAAAGAAAAAAAACGAATATAACATTCCAGAAATATGTTGCAAAGTATACCAAGTGGTAGGAGGCAGGTCTATGGCTGTAATCTTCCAAATGTCTTGAGTCGAATTTTGGGCTTGAGTTTGCTTCTTTTCTCACACTCCCGGAAGTGTTGTGTTCAGATTTTAAAACTTGATAATGTTGCCTAAGAAACTCAGGCACCCAAGTGGCGTGAAGCTGGAAACAACCTAGTCCTTGAATTTGACAGAGAAACACTCAATACCTTTGCAAAGTTGCTTTTTCACACACCCCATCCCCAATAACAACCAAAAGTACCACCCGGGGTTTGTTTCTTTAACACTTGCAACAATCAAGGATTCAGCATACAGCCCTATTGTTTGATTGACAGTCCCCAAAAGGGCTAGTTTTTGCACGTCAAAGGAAATGGCTTTGGCTCAAAGGAAAAACATGGTTTCCTAAACTTCAGAAGGAGGCATAGATGCCATGCTAAAAATGCTAGTAATGAAGCCTAAAATTCCAGGTAACAATAAGAATCCTCCATTAAAGTATCCTAGGGGGAAAAAACTGTATATGTGTATATGTACACACCCACAGACAGACA